ACCCCCTTTTTAAACCTGCCCACGTGGGTTATACGACTAAGTCAGAGATCATAGACCCCCTTTTTAAACCTGCCCACGTGGGTTATACGACTAGGTCAGAGATCACAGACCACTTTTTTAAACCTGCCCACGTGGGTTATACGACTAGATCAGATATCACAGATCCCTTTTATAAATCTGGTGATTAGTATAAGTGACATATTTATTCGTTTTTCTTCTTTGGTCAACTAAAGCTTACTTCTTTTACTGAGGAATAGATTTGAATGTTTAGTTTCAATTTTTATTGCCAAGTGCACAACACAGCGTTGTAAGCCTTTCACACATTACGTTTATATTCTCAAAATTGGCATTGAAAGCTACCAAAAGCTACAACACTCATTTCTTATAGTTTCTATTTGTGACGTTTCTACTGTTTATAAAGTAGGGAGCGATACCGACTTTGTATACCGAGAACTAACAAATCTCTATTAAAGAGGTGAACAACTGATAAATCTAGGTTAAAGACGTGAACTTTAAGGAGCAAGGAAAATTTAAACTTTTAGCTTTTTAACAATAGTGTACTTTAAGGTGTTAAAAACTGGAGATTATACGTTTGTGTCTACTAATGGGGTATTTAAATGGTGTGATGAATTCATTATTATTGCTGAGAAATGTAATATTAAACAATAGACATTATTGTCTGAAAGAAATCGTGAGTATAGTAAGACGAAGTAAATAGTCTTCATGCAGAAAAAAAAACAGACGTGAGATAAGGATCTTCTTTATTTGTTTTGGCACTTCGCGCAAACCTACACGATGGCTATCTGCGCTAGCCGTCCCTAATTTAGCAGCGAAAGAGTAGAGAGAAGGCAGCTAGTCATCACTACCCACCGCCAGCTCTTGGGCTACTCTTTTATCAACGAATAGTGGGATTGACGGCTAAAAGGGCGAGCATGTTTGGTGGGACGGGAATTCGAAACCGCGACCGTCAGATTACGAGTCGAGCGCCCTAACCACCTGGCCAGGCCAATAATATAAGTAAAAAGAAGCTGATTCCGGTTTTAGACATTTGTCAAAAATAGCTTGACTTCTTAACTCGCATAATACGAAGAACATATGGCTAAACTACAAAAATCGTCTTAGTACAAGAGGTAAAACTATTTTATTTTGATACAGAATCATGACATATCAGACAACTCTAAGAAAATAAAGACATCTCACTCAAAAGTGCAAGACAGGAAGAACGTTATTCCACCAGTTTTTACTTTAAGTAAACTGCTAACTTACTCCCTCTCTCTCTCTCTATATATATATATATATATATATGGAGGTTCCATCCATATACATGTTAGTACTCTGAGAAGTGTGACATTAACTGCTTTCCTATCACACCACATAGCCCCCCAGTGGCACAGCGGTATGTCAGCGGACTTACAACGCTAGAGACGGGTTTCTATACCCCTGATGGGCAGAGCACAGATAGCCCATTGTGTAGCTTTGTGCTTAATTCCAAACAAATACACCACATAATAAATAAGCATTTCGTACGAAAAGCACTTGTGAACTTTATCAAACAAATAATTACATCACTACTATTGAAGAACTGTTCTGGTATTCTCTTATAAATTCATAGCACTTAGAAATCAATGAAAAAAAAAACTTCCTCGCAGTTTTCTTTTTTACTTTCAGGTTTTATTTACCATTTCAATTTCTTTCTTGAGGTCATTTTCAGGCTAACTGTTAGATCATAATAACGAAGTTTTGAAAATATCGTACATGGATTCCAGTAAACATCAATAATATGCGTACAAAAATAGTAACAAAATTTCTGCATCTTAAAACGTACCTAACTATAAATCCTAAATGAAACAACAGCTTCTGTATATCCCCCCAGGTGGCACAGCGGTATGTCTGCGGACTTATACCGCTAGAAACCGGATTTCGATACTCGTGGTGGCAGAGCTGTGTGTAGCTTAATAAACAACAACGGCTACTGTATA